CATAATTATATTAGACAGAGGTACACAGTTTGTCTTAGCCTTCTAGGACAAACTCTATAAACAGCTCTAAATTGTCCCCTATCTATCTACAGCTTTTTACCTAGAGACTAATAGCTAGACTAAGAACATAAACACTATAATAAAATAAGTTTTATAAGTGTACACAAACTACTAGTAAGATAACTAGGTAAAATAGTTAGCTATAGCATAGTTTAAAGCTAATAACATAACATTTAAATTAACATAAGTATCCTTGTTCTTAGTAAACTATAAATACTACTCTTAAATAAAATTTAAACTACCTATAAATACCCCCTAACTAACTTATTAATTTATATAAGTAATAAATGTAAATAGACTTATTAATAAGATCTAAAATATATCTAAATATGTTTATAAAAAGCGTACATAGGCTTAAGCTCTTTAATAAGAGTACATAAACTAATTCTAAACTCTTGCCCCTATGTATGCAGCTAGCAAGAAGGTCTAGCTAGACGCTAGAAATATTTAAATAAACTAATAATTAAAGAAACTTAATTAAAAGAACCTTAGCCTTTTTATAGTAGCTTATATAGTCTTATTACACACTTACTAATTAATTCTACCTAATAGCATAAAGATACACCCTGTGTTCTATGTATTATTGCTGTGCTAAGCAGCCTTTAAATCTAACTATCTACCTAGACAGCTAAACTTGCTACCTAAACTTATTATTATAAACAACAAACTAGAATACATTATAAAAGATGTTAAATAAATTTAGTTTAATAAAAAAAAACATATCTATTAATACCTTATAAAATAGACTAGATACAATAAACTGTTGTAAGAACCTGCAGAAGCTCTATAAGAGAACTCTGCTGTAACCTAATTTTACGCCTAATACCTATTTAAACTAAACCTGTACCCTAATAAAGACAACTTAATGCTAGAACTACTAATATAAAGGATTTCTTTCCTAATAAGAGGGGGGGTACTGTCACAGTATCCTCCCTAGATCCTAGACATAACTGTATTAGACGCGTACTAGAGTATTATTAGTGCACGTCTAACACAAACATAATATAACATAAACATAAACTTAAGCATAAACTACTTTAACACTAACTAAACTTAGAATAGGCTTAATTTATACCTAAAGCACTTAGACTTCTAAGCTAAGTATTTAATTACTAATTTCCTCTTAAACCTTCCTGTTCCTCACACAACATCTTGTACCTACTATGATACCTCACGTAGTAATTAAACTAGACCTCCGTGAAGCTCTATAACCTTACTCGTGCACAATCGTGACACAGTCCTACGTACAGGCTATTAGGCTAATAGAGGGAGGGAGAGTAACTAGATTGTAGTTTGCCTTATGTGTAGTAGTAGGGTAGCTAGGGTTAAACAGTCCTTGTAGGACAGGGTTAGAGGTATATATAGTGCAAGATATATAAATAGTATTACAGCTCTTTAGAAAGCTAAATGCTACTTAGTTTATGTAATAAATAAACTAAACATTAAACACGCCTTTTAAAGGTTATTTAATGTAGAAACTATATACATGTGCTAGGGATACTAAGGGAGTAAACAGGAGTTTATAGAAGTCTGCTAAGGAGGTTCCTGCAGGCTCCCTTAAGCTCCCTTAAGCTCCTTAAACTCGCGGCCTGTCCTCCTATTAGACAACGCATTCTTCCATGACCTCAGGCAGCCGCGCTGCCTCCGTGTCCTCCGATCGGTCTTTAGGCGAGCCCTGCCCCAACCCAGTTAGATTGTGGAGCACTGCTGGTGGGGCTACGCTGGTCCAACCGTAGACCGTAACACATCTTTACGCGCTAAGCATAATAAAGGCTATGTTAACATAAACTAGCCTAGTATGTTTATAAAGTGTTATTTAAAGCTTAAAGTAAAGTTTAAGTGTAAGTGTAACTATAAAAAAGCCTTTTATAAGAATCCTAGGTTAATTTAAAGCTAGGTATAGTATCTAAAATAATAACACATATAACTTTAATAAAATAGGCTTTATAATAAGTTAGACATCTAGTAACTATACTTATACCTAAAACTTTACTTTAAGCTCTAGAGAACGCTTTACAAACATACTAGGCTAGTTTATGCTAATAACGTACTTCACAGGCGAGTTGCTTACACACCTAAGTTGCTTACTTTTACTAAGACCCTACTAAACTACTCTTCTTACACTAATGCATTCTCTACAACACTACTTAGACGTGCTAAAAGAATATTAGATACAGTTTACGCTTTAAGCTTTTAAACAAGACATAAAACTCTTAAAGAAATGTGCTGCAGCTATGTGCAAGGTCTTATAAAAGATAATAAATAACTATAGCACTAGATAACCTTTACAAGCTAATTCTACAGCTAAATTATAAAGGCTAGGTAATAAAAAGAAGCAGGTAATTGTTAAGACTATACTTAAGCTATATGCATAAGGAATTTCCCCTTAGATAGCATTTATAGCTAATATAGCTAATTCTTTACACGCTAAGCATAATCTAGGCTATATTTATATAAACTAGCCTAGTACCTTTATAAAGTGTTATTTAGAGCTTAAAGTAACATTTAAGCATAAGTATAACTATAAGAGAGCCTTTTATAAGAGTCCTAGGGTAATTTAGAGCAGGTTTAGCCTTATAGAGAATATTAAAGCTAAGTATAGCATCTAAAATAATAACATGTATAACTTTAACAAGACAAAGTTTATAATTAGCTAAATATCTTTTAACTATACTTACACTTAAAACTTTACTTTACGCTCTAAATAACGCTTTATAAATGTACTAGGCTAGTTTATATAAACATAGCCTAGATTATGCTTAGCGCACAAAGAATTAGCTATATTAGCTATAAATGCTATTTAAGGGGAAATTTCTTGCGCATATAGCTTAAGTATAGTCTTAATAATTACCTACTTCTTTTTATTACCTAGCCTTTATAATTTAGCTGTAAAATTAGCTTATAAAAGTTATCTAGCGCTATAGTTATTTATTATTTTTTATAAAACTTTACACATAGCTGTAGCACATTTTTTTAAGAGTTTTATGTTTTATTTAAAAGCTTAAAGTATAAGCTGTATCTAATATTCTTTTAGCGCGTCTAAGTAGTGTTGTAGGGAATGTATTAGTGTAGGAAAAGTAGTTTAGTAGAGTCTTAGTAAAAGTAAGTAACTTAGGTGTGTAAGCAACTCGCCTGTAAAGTACGTTATAGCCTAGATTACACTTAGCGTGTAAAGAATTAGCTATATTAGCTATAGCTACTAGCTAAGAGGAAAATCCTTACATATATAGCTTAAGTATATGCTTAATGATTACCTACTTTTTATTATTACTTTACTTTTATAAGTTAGCTATAAAATTAGCTTATAAAAGTTATTTAGTGTGTTAGTTATTTATTATTTTTTAAAAAACTTTATATATAGCTATAGTATATTATTTTAAAAGAGTTATGTTTTATTTAAAAGCTTAAAGTGTAACCTATATCTAATATTCTTTTAGCACGTCTAAGTAGTGCTGTTAGGAATAGATTAGTGTAAAAAAAGTAGTTTAGTAGGGTCTTAGTAAAAGTAGGTAACTTAGGTGTGTAAGCAACTTGCCTGTAAAGTATGTTAAAGAATATTTGCAAGATTTTAATGTTTAATAGTGTACTATTCTGCTATCTCTTTGTAGGCAGGTTACTTTGACTAGCAGAATATAAAGATAGTACAAAGATAGAATAGCCAAACTACATAGGTATTCTAACGTGTGATATCAATAGTATATGCCTAGACTTTTAAAGCCTATTCATAAAACAGTTATTCACACAGATACAGGTTCCACCCTATTCTGAGGAGAGCCTTTCCCTCTAAGATAGCGGAATGAAGTGAAAGTGAAAGCGCCGGCAATGATATGCGTTTACTGCTATCTTGGCTCAAATTTAAAAGACTGCAACCTTAATTTTTAAGAACGGGAAGGGGGGTGAGTTGCTGTGCAAGGTAGCTGTAGGGACGTCGCCAATGTTGCACCACGAGACACTCTGTGTGGGTGGCCATCCGCGGGAACGTGCGACGCGGCCTAGGATAACGAAGGCAAACTACACAGTAGCCATTTGACCTACATGAATAGCGCTGGGGAGGGCCCCTGCAGGATATGGCTGGGTATGGTCGTTTGTTGAAACAGTTGATGGACGCGGTAATGTCATCCTGATCCGGCTCATTCGCGCGTCTGGTGTCAATGTGGTGCTGTGTGGTGTACGCCCATGCTCCCATTTTAGGTCGGTGGGGGGGCGAATGGTTGGGGAACAAAGTCCCTGAGCAGCTGCTGGTCGTTCGCAGGGGCTGCGAAAGGATGCTCTTACGCCGTTTGTGGCCTGAGATGGCTGATAGGTGGGGCTGGCAGCCTCGTCCCCTCTGCGCCAATGTTGAGCAGCGTTTCGAAATAGCAAGCCGCGCTGCCCGGCAACCTCGCGCGAAGTCCAACACATCGAGCATGTGGGGCCACCGTTATCTAGCTCCTTGGCGCTCCTCAAGCAGTTATGCGTTTTCTTGCCTTGCGAGCGATACCGCTCAAAGTCTCGGTCAAATCGCAATAAGGAAACTAGAGAGCGGTTTTGTTATCTGTGTTACGTAAACTAAGCTTGATCTAACTTTCCTTTCTCTTTATTAACTCGCTCTTTAGTGTTGCGACACTCCTTCACGAGGCAGTTAAAAGTGACATCAGGGGCTGTGTTTTGACCCTGGGGCCAAGTTCGTTAACCATCGTGTGAGGGATAAGGTGCCTAAAATGTTGCATATTCTAGCGACCAGTGGATTCCTGACAACCCGCCGCTCTGTCGGAGGCAGCTGAAGCCCAATATGCAAGAAGAAGGCAAAATGGGATCTCGCCTGCCCAGGCAACACTGTCATCAGGCAGAATCAGAGGGTATGCGAGCCATTCAAGAGTTCAACCTGAGGCAACACTGATGCTCACTACGACAGGTTGTCACAGCGTTCCAAGCGCACCACGACTTTGTTGGGCATTGATATCGCTCTCCAGAGGAACAGAGGAGTCATAGCTAGGAACAAGGTCATACTAAGTTATAATTGGCCCAGCCACCACAACTGCGAAACCCAATGCATACCCCAAACCGAAGTCTATGGAAATTGAAGACGGCCTCCAGAATATATATTCACGTACGAAGCTGTTGTCTACCCGCTACTAGCATCATCCGCAGTCTTGATTATGGGTCCCATATTCCTTCGCAGATACTTTGGCCTTCTCCACTCTGCCGTTAAAAGGCAACCGATACAATCCCTAAAGCACACGTCTCCCCCACGCACCCAATTCTCACGTCCGGTCCCATGCAAATATTGCAAACCCCAACCATTCTCAAGGTTCGCACGGTACCATGACGGAAAGTGGTTCTGCAGCTGCAACCTCCCAGCGATCTGGAAACAAGTTAAGAAAAGGGGCCATTTTGAGGGAATGACATGTAGGTTCCAGACCTAATAAGTGATTCTAGGAGTTGGCTGAATGACATAGTCCTAAGATGTCCGAAAGAGATGGGCAAGCAGTGTGATTTCATTCTATGGAAGGACCATGAGAGTGGTGCTAGGGGGTTGTTTAAGTAAGCACAGCTGAAGAGGAGCAAGGCAAAGATGAACGAAATTGTAACCTGTTGGGTGCATTTAGTCTTCCTATGTATATCTGTAGTGCTAAGTCTGCTCGTGCTGAGCGTTTATACCATCCAAAAATTCCTAAACTTCGTTCCAACCAAATGCCAATGCTGATAGAACGAGAAATAACCATAGCAAAAAACTACAACCTGTACCCAAGGTCCCAAAATAGGCCATTTCCTACAATCGAGGTGGAAATCCTTTCGCACGCAATGATATTTCCTCCCGCTCGGCGATGCCAATTTCGACAGTTAGTACGGCTTATGCAGTATAACCGAACTCGAGCTTGGAAGGCTAGGCTTCGAGCAGAGACGCCGGCACACCCTACGGCGTAGAATTGCTGACTCAAAGATATCGATGTTCTAGCTGTGGAATTGGGTGGGAGGTTATGGTCGTATCCCTTTCCTCTCGAAGCCTGATCTCTGACCTTTCTGGAATAAAGCGGTTGCCCCTATCGGCAGGTGTGTGCTATAACCGATACAATGGCCTCTTTAATTTCCGGTGTATCGTTGACCCCTGTACTTTGGTTTTATGTCCCTCATTTGATGCGGGTCCGTGGACTGCCAGAAGGGACACTCTAGTTCTGATATCTTGCTGGCGCCGTGTCTTGCATGAGCTTAGGAGGGGGCATATGGCAAACGACTCGACAAGGGAGCGAGATCCAAACAAGGTGGAATGAGTGTATTGTAAGGTCTAAGGAGCTCGATAGAGCTCTGGGCTGACTATATACTGTACGAGATAGGAGCTATGCCTAATGAGTGAATAGTGCAGTACATGGGTATGATATCGCGTGAGACACGTGCGACACCGTGTTGTGTGACTGCATCATGTAGTAACAGAATTGGCGGACTCGATAGACGTAGATGAGTTTTGATGAAATAGACAGGGGCGCAGAAAGTGTTGACGGAAACTGTAAGTTTCGTTACTGCTAATGCTAGGTGAAACTTCACTGTCTGACGAACGTTTTAGCTTGAGGTATTATATATATTGCTTCTAGTAGCCGTTACTTGATCAGCATGGACAACGTCTGTTAGAGATAACCCTTTCTATGTCGTCGTCGACATTGGAACCAGAATTCGAATTCAATGCACGTTCGCCGACTATTTGTGCAATGTTAGGCTGGTTTTGGTCCATAGCTAGAGATGAACGGAGTCCCCTCAGCTAGGAAGCGTCTGTCGTCGATTCGACTTCCTGGGTCTTTGGGGGGAGGAGAGCCAATTTTCTGAGCAGTAGACGAAACGTTAACTAGCTGTGTCACTACTGGTGGCGTGGAGGGTGAAGTCGTTGCTTTTAGTCAGATGGGAACGAGGCCAGGAGATCGTGGGAAAGCATCGTCGGAGCCGTAGTTAAGGGACATCGTTTCAAAGGAGGAAGATAGCCCTAAGAATACGGGAGAGCCGAAGCTGCGGTCACAAAGAGTGGTGTTCTAGCCATGCTGCGGGGATATGCCTGGCCGAGACTAGCGCCCTATATCCTCTCGCTTCTTTGACTGGTAACACTTCTATGGAAGCTCAGCAAGACGATGCGACGCTCGACGGGGTGATAGGTATTGCTGAAGAAGTAGTTATTTCACATTTGACACCCGATACTAAAGTCTATGAGCATATCATCAATCATCCCACACTAGCAGTCAGTCAGCTGCAGCTTTTCACGCTTGCTCCCCTCCAACTCACCGTCCTCATCAGTTACAAGGTGGACGTAATTGGCCCCGAACCATCCTCGGTAAAGATGCTCAGCAAAAGGAGGAGGAGCTTGATCGTTGGACAACATACGCTCAGCAAATAGTTGACGAGGACCTATTGACCACATTAGGGACTGAGCAGACCTTTTCTTGCGTATGTTGTACTACAAACGAAAGAGGCAGCGAGGGAGACCGGACGCGTTTGAAGAGGTCAGGAAGACTGAGGGATGAACGTCATAATGTGGGAGAGTTGGTGGGTGAAGGCTGTTCGCTCTTTCTGTCACCCTGCTCGTGGCTAGCAATCGTCGTTCCCATTCTTGGAACCGCGCCAACTCTACACTCACACACTCGCCTGCATTCCGCTACCTTCCTCAGCCCATCAACGCAAGCTCGCTTTGCGAAAGCCGTCCTCCTCGCTCTCCTCCTTTTCGCCAGGATCGAGGGTTACGTCAACGCCCGCCTTGGCTAAAAGATGGTAATTCTCTTGACAGAGTCGAAAGTTTCGTTGGGTTCGAATTTCCACGTACGGAATATTAAGGGACGCAACGGTAGGCAAGATTGTATGGCGCACTACAGTATTGTAGTAACAATCGTAGCAAACCGCCTAGTGTTCAATTCGCGTGGGAGGTGATGCTACTCTGTTTAATGGCTAGCCAATGCGGGACATCGCAGACGCTGCCGGGTTGGCTGCGCTGCCTTCGGTGTAAGTGTCATATTTCGTGACTTGCTCATAGGATTTCGCGCTCTCTCCCTGCCACAGCCACGACTGTGGCTTTACAGGTACCAATTCGACGCATGATGGCCTATAGAAGCTATTACGTCCACTGGCAGATATATTGGATAACAGAAAGATAAGGACGAATATCAATTCATGCTGCGTCAAGCCTTGCAAGGTGTTCCTTCAGTGCTACTGGTTAAGTCACCGGTAAGTAGCGGTATTTCACCCACAGGGTCAATACACCAGAGAGGCCCAGGCATGAGATATTCGTCCATCTTCCACTTCCTCGAAGGTTCCCTGCGTCACGCTTGAGACTCTTCTAGACTCGTGACCCAGGATCGTCATAGGACTTTTACATCGTCCCTCTAAGTGCGTCCTCCGTCGCGTGTTATCGCCATGACAGATGCACAGGACCTGTCCACGTAAATTCAACAACTTTCTTAAGCAAAGAACACTCAAGTCATCAGACATTGGGCTCCACTTTCTATTCGCACGCCTAGCGCCTCTTCTAGCTGCGACTCTAGCAGCCTCTAATGCACGCACACTCTTCCCGCCGCGTTCGACTCCACTTGACTACTGCTGTCTAGGGATGGCTCAATTTCTAGCTTATTTTGGTCTAGACAACCCTGACAGTGTGCTTTTAGACGATGTTATTGTATTCTAGGTTGCTAGCTTCCCTAAATTTAGGCTCTACTATTTTAAGCTTAGCCTAAAGCTTAGCCTTATATCTCGTTGTCTTAAGCTTAAGTGCTAGAGGAACATAAGGAAGGTATTTTATTAGAAGAAACCAAGGGGCTAGTAAAAGAATCCTAGGATCGGAGGCTAGTTTAGCGCGGAGATTTGTTAGAGCCTCTAGTCGAAAGGATAGAGCTAGACTAGAGGTTGAAATACCTCCGTTATAGAACCATAAGTAACAGGTCGTAGAGTATGAAAATAAATGTGCAATACACTAGAAGACGTGATGAACTTCTCTTCAAGTAGGGAAATTAATTAAACAAAGCCTCTAGTGTGGATCTTAACCTTCGCGAATAGCTACCCTCTGAGGCGGAGATTTGCTACTGCTTATATACATGCTACTTCTTGATCCTATGCCTAGATGCATTGGATTGCTCATTCCCTGTCTATTTAAGTTTAGTATAGACGCATCTGGCTAAGCTTAAGCCTGGCTGCTTTTGGCTGATCATTCTTTGTCCATTCAAGTCCCACAAGGACGCATCCGACCAAGCTTAAACCCTCTCGTGTCATATAGTGATATACTGAATACATGCTGTTAACTGTTGGTGTTGTCCTATCGTCTAACAAAAGCAATGCAAAATAGCTATTCGACAGAGCAATAAAATTAATTGTGCGTTGTTACTACACGAGGGTCTTCTTGCTAGTTTCTTCCTGAGAAGTCACCATAGTTTTGTCTTGAAAGTTTAAACTAAGTTGCGACACCAACAATAACCTCCTGTTTACGCTCCTAGCTATCTTTACTAGCTAGTCTATACGGTTTGGAAATAGAAGCCTTATGCGAGAACGTAAAGTAGGAAAAGTAGCTAATACGTCTATGGTTAACAATCTTGCCAACGGTCTCCAGTTTCCAATACTACGCCTTGCTCTGTAGGTAAACCTAGTAATATTAATATGTGAGAGCACTGTGTGAAAGATGTATGAAGCGCGGAAGGGGTATAGGATAGTATTGGTAAACGAACCATTGAGGAGACTCAGGGGTTCGGGAAAGGATATATATGTACTACAGCACGTGATGGGACGTCACGTGCCCATGACCGGGCCGAGCGCTCTCCGGGAGGGGGAGTTGTTCTAAATAGGGAGGTTGTGTGAGCATGCAGCTATGGTAGAAGCTGATGAAGTGAAGTGTATTGTATAGTGTGTTGTGCTCTGCTGCAGAGTATTTATTTACATCTATAACAGTAGAGGCAGTAAGGGCCATGGCAATGGCTTAGGGGCCATGGTGAAGGCAGTAGGTGCTATAGTAAAAGCCTTAGGAGCTGTTGCGGCTCAGGGAAGGGGGATTTCCGTATCAGGAATGCGACAGGGGAGTTCGGAGACATGTCCCAGTTAACCATGACGGAATACGGTATTTAGATTAAGGCTATCCATTAGTCTTAAGATAGAGGCCTAAGCTTCTAGGCTGTTGCATGTGAAAATGACTAAAACAGGACGTGGAGCAGCAGTTTTGGTCAGGAGTGGGAGGTGGACGCATGTCGCAACCCGGCTAAGCGTTGAAAGATGAAGGTGTTGATGGTGAGCAGAGAGCGACTTTTCTGGCGGAAAATGCCGTCTTGGCGCAACGGCTGTGGCTGGTAGCGAGGACGCAACCGGCATCAATAACAAACTCGCCCTCATCCCCTCCAAAGGCTTCCCTCAACTATGGACGACCCTCAACATCTCTCACTACCCTATGATACCCGCGACCGAATCCACACCTGGCTCTGCGGCTCCCCCGAACCTGCTCTTGCGGCGCTACCGAATCGCCCACCAACGCCTCCACGATCACCAAGCTCGCAACTGCGTAAACACCGCCGCGACTCCTCGCTGTATGACAGCGACATGGAGGGCTCTCGAGATGGCAGCCCGAAGAGGCGGCGCGGCAACGATGACAACATTGCACCCGCCCAGAGCGTGTCGCAGGTGGGTGTGGGTAGCGTGCTTGCGTTGAGCGAGCGCACGACTTTGACTGCGACGGGTACTGGTGGTAGCGGCGTGGTGGTGGACAGGAAGCGCTCTGTAAGCCCGAGTCGGCACTTGACGGCACTGCGGACGGCGCAGCCCGCGATCACGCTGGGTCCAATAACCATGCACAAGACGCCGTTGCCGAAGGACGTTGCGGTGGATATTGGTAAATTGAGGAAGCGACTTTCGGCACGCCATGGATATATTCCGGCCGGTCTTCAGGAAGCCATTTGTAGAGACCCTGTTTTTCTTCCATCTCTGGATATCGATCCTATTGATGAGGAGGAGTTTGATGAAGCCGACTCGCAGAATGCAGCTGAGCTTGCAGATACCTTGCGGCGGGTAAAGACGATATTCCAGAACGCGCGCCTCTGTACAGAGTATGGTCGCGATGAGAACGCATGGTGCTTTGACGTGGTTTATCCTTTGCTAGAGCTGGCCATCAAGCTTCACGGGAAAGACAAATGGCGGTGCGAAAGCGTGTATGATTTGGCTCCCACTCCCCGCCACCCCCCCCCTTTCTATAGCTAACCTTCTCACTCCCAGCCAATCCCAATCCCTCTCCCCCCGCTACCTTTCCTCAATCCCCGACCCGACCCACACCTCTCCCACCCGTATGAAAACCCTTTACCGCAAGACAGACTTCTGCTTCTCAACCTCGCGTCTCGACCCCGCTTTCGCATCGCTCTACGACCATCTAGAAAGGACGTATCCCGAGGTGTCGCATACAACAGACAACTTCACTTCGCGTGTGGCGCTGTTCTCTGGGATTGAGGTTAAACCGGAGAATGGGGATCATAAGGAAGCGGAGTTGCAGATGGGGATTTGGATGGCGGGGAGTTTGAGGAAGAAGGCATCGTTAGCGACGCAGGCTGTGTCTGGATTCCAACCCTCTCATGCAAGTACTCGGTCTGCGGCGGAGGAAGCTGGAGATATCGCAGCGTACCCCCTTGCCGCCGAGGCGGACGCCACACCCGGTGTTACCCTCAATGTCAATACAGTACCCCCCCTCGAACCCGCTATCACAATTATCGGCCACGAGCACAAAGTATACTACGCTTATCTTTCTGGCTCGGGCGGCGATGTTACGATCCTTGGACCAGATGAGAAGCTTGTGGGTCTTACGACCAGGTCCGTACAGGGGATTTTTAGACTTGTGAGGTTTTACGGAGCGGTTTTAGAGTATTGTTATGGCGTAGATGAGGAGGAGACAGAAAAGGGCGTCTGGGGTACGTTCTTAGGGCCGGTTTTGAGGGTGCTGGCTGGCAACGGAGGTGGTGGCGGCGGGTGAGAAGAAATGCTGAACATATTTATGATGTTATGTATTCATGTATTTTGGCTGAATTGATACCCCCGTAGTTTCTCTCTTCGTTGAGACGAACGTTTCGCCTTGCTTCCTTTCATCGTGTTCATGCTGTCAAAATATCCTTGGCTATGAGTCAAGCGGAGGGTAATGGCTTAGTTATTAGGACATCTCTATATTATCCCTCATAACCCACTTTCTCTGGCACCCTAAGCTCTGACTTCTGGTTCGGCCTTCTACATTTCATCTGTAGATTCTCGCCAACTACCTCCCGACCCTCTCTTTGCCGGCGCGTTTACAGGCTGATCATATTAAAAAAGCTCCTAGCGTTTGCTCGGAGCGTTGCGAGAGCTACATAACACGTCGCGCGGTCTTCTCTGAAGGAAAAGCCGTCTCTCTTACTAGATGACGTCATAACAAACCAGCCACGCCTCATTAGCCACGATCGACATTCTCGTTGCTGATGTAACCCCAAATGATACATCCGCACAGAGTTGACTCTCTCGTGATGCTACTCCCCATCAAATCCCATGCAAGTTCGGCGGCATTTACACTCCTCATTGATCACACTTCTCGTAGCCGCAGTACCATCTAAGTAATAATACTACATCTTGGTGCGTTCAATACGCTCTCGCCATCCTCAAACGCCATTCGTCTTTAAATGGAGAATAGCTTTCGGCACTTTCGGGAGATGTTTCTCCAAGTTGCGCAAGAACTTTTTGTTTCTTTTTAGTTCGGACTTGATCTGAGCTCACTTGATTTCCACCACGGCTCCAAATATAGGTGCCAGATCGTGTGAAGTATATAGCTCCCCACTGTTTTCACCTTCTTTTCTTTGCTTGAGGGCATCAAGCTTGTTGCGGACAGTCATATCGCCGAACGGAAGTCCCAAAATCTTCTCGACCGTTTCCGGCGCAAAGTAGGGTAGTCTAAGAAAATAACCGTTCTTGGTTGCCGTTAGGCGCTCTTGAGACGTTCATTATCGCTAAATTTTCGCAATTCAAGCACAAATAACTTGGACAGCTCCGAGAAGCCTTTCATCTTATTCAACTCCGCCACTACGTGTTTCTTTGCCGCAATCTGGACCAGGTGCTTGTCCCAAATGCCTCCACAATCGCTCCTGTACTTGGGCGAAAGAAGAGAGACCTAGTCCAGAACTCCTCATCGAGCACGAACTCGCCCTCAATACCATCATGATTTAATGTTTTGAAGGAGATTTCCGTGACAATCTTCCCGCTATCAACCCCCCTAGTAATCTATCCTAATTTTATATATTTGGCAATATTTAGCAATATTTGTTTTTAAAAAATGGGAATACTAAGTAGGTATTCCTTGCCCACAACTTTACTAGTCTTTTCATCGTCTATGATTACAAGTCCTTCAGACAACAAGATAACAGGTCCATTGTGTACAAGTCTAGGTCTATTGTTGTGTGCGACTTTGCACTTCTTATACTAGACAACAGTATATATTTCTTAGTAATTCGCAAAGAAAATCTTATTAACTAGGCTATTAAACAACACTGGTCACGGAAGCGATGGCAGCGACAATGCAGCGACAATGGTGTACTGTCTACATGCTTGGAAAATAACATAATCGTTTGTTTACTAAGGATGTATCACGGTTATGTTACAGCTATCCAACCCCTGAGTACCCTAGGCTTGGCACGGGGTATATAGGCTCCTCACCCTCCGTACCTCTGCCTCCGACCCTAAGGTTTACTCTCGTTACCCCCCCTATCCTGCATTCCCTCTCTGTGCCTCGTCCTTCCTGCTCGATACCTCTCACAGGATGTTAAGAAATTGTACAGCCACTTCACAACGCACTTGCGTTGTTACACAGTGGTCCCGGCTTTACAAAGGTACTTTATACCACACCTGAGATCAATCAATCAAGCAAGCTGGCAGTTTCTGGCTTAATTAATTGCGTTTTAGTATAAGGTTTAGCTAGATTAATTAAATTAGCTTAGCAGAAAGTTGCTAGCTTAATTAGTAGCTTAGGTGCTTAATTCCTAAATAGGAAAGTTATATATATTTTTTAGTGTTAAGTCTTAGCTGTTGTCCTATGTATCTAGATTGTTGTCTTTGCCTACCTACTTACTAAGCTTGTATAAAACGTTTATCTGCTTATTAGTAAGCTTTAATTAGCTTATATTATTATTATTACTACTACTAAAACTAGCCTGTCTTTATTATTGTACTAAGTGTAGTGCTGTAAGTAGCTTAAGTAATATATAGTGTTAGTAAGGCTCTAGTAGATCTCTAAGCTTACTAAAAACGCGCTTACACTTACAGCTTAAAGCTAGTATAGAGAGTATTATAAGCGCTATCTTACTAAAGTTAAGATATTAATCACGCAGCCTAAACTAGTATTATATAGGATTAGTGCTCTTACTAATAATTAGCTTATGCTTTTACTACTTATACTTATTCTTCTTAGTATTACTACGTGTAGGATTAATAATGCTATTAATTATGTTATTAATATTACTTAGTTTCTTTAGTGTGTGTGTGTAGTAAGGCCTTAGTAACAGTAGCAACTTGTAATTTACCTATAGTGCCTAGAAATTAAGATTATTAGATGCTAGCTAATTAGACTTCTTAGCCTACACTTAATTATAGTAGTGTTTATAGTAAAGATAGAGTATTATAGTAGTATAGTAAGCTAGTAAGTTGTTAAGTTTAGCGTAGTACTTATTTACTTTAAGTAGCGCTGTGTGTAGATTAATAGGAAGATAATCTTTAAGCGCCTTATTATAAGCATTATAGACTATACTATTATAGTAGAGAAGGTAAGCTTCTAATTAAGTAAGTAAAAACTTAAATATTAAAATTACTTTAGTAATTACACTAAAGCTATACTTACTATGTCTTTTAAAGCGCTTTATACACTTTTTAAGTAGCCTAAAAACTTTTATATAGTTAGTAATAATAGCTTAATTAGTAGCTATAAGGCTGTTTAATTTTATCTACTATAAAGTAGTAAGCTAATCCTTACCTTATAAGTTAGTGTAGATATCCTCTTTTACTATATTTTATATGTAGGTGTTTATATATGTGTTAATAGCTAGTGTAAGCTTTATAGCTTACTTAAAATAGTTAAAGTATAAGTTTTAGTGTGTAACTACTAGCTTAATTAGCTGCAGTATTATAAGCTTATTATCTATGTTATAAGGCAGCTTATAGTAAGCTATACGCTGCGCCTTCTTAAAGAGATTGTACTGCTGCTGTCAGATTGAAGCACTGTTTCTGGGCTTCCTGAGATGAATGATGGGTTTGGATATGATGTATAGGATGATTGATTAATTGTATTTATTGTGTTGATTTTTCAATCCTTTTTCCTGCTCTACTCGTGTTGCTCAGCTTTTTGTTTTGCTGATCTGAGTCCCTCGCGCACTTGCCCTATGCGCGACCAGCTTGCAAAATGCTGCAATTTGCTGCAAACTGCTGCAACATGCTGCAAAATGCTGCAATTTGCTGCAACATGCTGCAAACTGCTGCAATTTACAGCAACATACTGTTTGAGCTTATTGCTCGTACTATGTAGCAGCTTTCGTCAAGCGTTCCTCCTGTCTTAACAGTAGGTGCGCAAATCTGACACACCCCCTCAGCTTGGACATGCTTTAAGCTGGTTCCTGATTGCGCAACCTTAGTATGCTTCCAGGGCTTCCATTCTTGCTTCAATCTCTTCCATATCCGCTTCCTAACTAACTATCCTCTCCCTGACGTTAACTAGCCGAATTTGCTGAAGAAAGCTTGGCCATTTGCTGACTAGAAGGGCTTTAGTGAGTCCGTCCGCAAGCATCTTGCTGGAGGGGACATGGACAACCTTGATCGTTTGTCGAGAGACTTCCTGTCAGAGCCAGTGGTTATGGATGTTGACATGTCGGAGCTTAGTTTAAAGTTAAGATATCTCTTTGTTTACTAGTTAGATTGTCTGCTTGTTGTCGCACTAGATTATAATAGTTAAATTAGGCAGCTTAACCTACAGTTTATTAAGAAGCATTCTTATAAACATAGCTTCCTTAGCAACTTAGAATAGTGCAAGTAATTCTGCTTCTGTTGTTAATGTTGTAACTATATCTTGTTTATTTACTTGCTATGCAATCTATCTGCTAAATAGTTAAATAACATAGCCCTAAGAGCTCTTTCTATCTAGTGTATTATCTATAAATAACGCATTACTTGCTACTATAAAGTAGTCTTCTCCTCCTAATTAGAGTGCGTACGTCTGTGTCGCATGTAGGTACAGGATGACTCAATCGGCTGCATCCTAATGGTTAGATGCGGGATTCGTGAGAAACTGTGCAAGGCGTGATGTAGTAAAGGCAATGTCTAGTCTTATAGTAACTGCTGTAAAGAGCAGAGATCTAATCTTCTGCTAATATTAATTTACTTCTAATAGGGTTGCAAAACTAGATTGCAGCATAAGTTTAATCCTACTTATAAGTGTAGCGTGCTGCAGGTCCTTTCTGTTAGCTAGCCTAGCTATCTTGTTAATATATAAGGCCTGTAACAGCTAAATTATTTATTGCTGTTAATCTCTAATAATCTTAACTTCTAGAAACTATTATAGGTCCTTGCCTTTTGTTAGAGTATACTTCTCTTGTAACTAGTCTACTACACGCTGTGCATCTACTTTAGAGCCTTTTCTGTACGCAATAATAAGGTTGTCTATGTAGAAGAAGACAAATATTCTAGCTTTAGTTATGCAGTAGAGTTTATGTAGGACAGCTAAGAACCTAAGGCCTTTAAAAGTTATTATAAAATAGTGTTGCTAGAGTAAAGAAAAAATTTATAAGCTATATAGTGCTTTTTAAAGCTTTAGTATTATACCTAGTTTCTAATAGCCTCTTAGCATCTGCATGTAGATATTGCAGTTAATTACTGCATGTATAAACGCGTTAGTTATGTTGTATTGTTTAAGCTCTAGGTTAAAGCGTGCAGATATTGCTATTAGCATTTAAAATAAGCGTTTTGCTAGGGTGGCAGTGTAGGTATTTTATGTAGTAATGTTTCTCTGTTAATTGCTGTAAACTACTAGTTACACCTTACATCTTTGCAATCTGTAGTGCTTGTTAAGCTTATAAGTGTACACCTACATATAATCTAGAATCTGCTGTCTAGCTGCCTTAATTAGCTTTGTCTAGACCTCTGTCTAGAATTTTATTGTTTAATAACTATCTAGGTGCGTTCTTTCTGCTGCCTTAAACATCTTATGTAAAGGGTGCTCCTCTAGTTGCTTTTAGGTTAATAGTAAAAGTAGTAGCTAGCTTCTATAAGGTGTTTTTCTTTTAAATAGCATTTTTATTAATGCTGCTTTATCTAGTGTCTTGCTGCTATGCTTTTCTACACTTCTAAATCTTATGCTAGCTATAAAGGCTATAGCCTATAGTATAGTCTTTAACAACTCTATTTAGCTTAGCTTTAGTGCTGCTCTAGCTATTAACTGCATAAGTAATGCTGCAGGTAGTAGAGTGTTTAGAGGAGATAAATAGTTATCTCTAATCTTCCTTCTTTAATAGTAGCCTAGTAGGTCTACTTTATTAAAATTTAATGTATTATTTATAGTGTTGTCTTTATAGAATAACTCTGTCTCTAGCTAATAACTAAGTGTTAGAAGCTTAATTATTTTAATATATATAGTAATTTTTTTTACTATGTTATATATAAGGTTATTTATTAGGTCTTTAGGCTTACTGCTAAAGATTAAGTGTTTATTAAAAATAACATTATGTGTATAGATTACTTTTGCTAGCAGTAGTATTTATACACAGTAGATGTTTAATAATTAGTACCTAACTAGATATCTAATCTACGCCTTTAAGTCTAGCCTTTGTAGCTTAGATTTGTTCTAATGTGTGTTATTAGTTATTATAAATGCTTTACAGCTATAGGCTTTTAGATGTGTAAAGCTTAGCTTTTAAATTAACATAATAACTCTATTATTTAAAGCTGCTTGTGTAAAGAAGATCTTATATAGTGTCTTCTAGTTATTAGCATAGTTTAGCGTCTAATTGTATAGGTATACGCTGGCTCTAGTAATGTATAGCTATATGTTCTATAGTAGGTTAGCATCTAGTTGCATAGCCTATAACTTCTTTTTATTTACACCTCCTAAGCGTTTAGCTCCTCTGTTCTAGGCTTGTGTATTTAGTGCTAAAGGCTTAACAGTTATTCTCTATAATGCTAGCTAGCATTCTACCTTTAGTTTTACTGTTGTAATCTTATTATTAGCTTTAATAACTTTTACAGTAATATTATAATAGTTTTTTAGAAAAAAGATAAAGATTATAAAAGCTTTAATAATTAATTTAGTAAGCTTATTATTTTTAAAGTAGAGGTCCTACTAGAGGCTAAAATACTTATTAGTAATTAGCATTTAACTTTACTCTTTTATAATGCTTTATACTTTGTATGTATAGAAATTAATTAATAGTCTTTTACTAAGTCTACTATTACTAATTTGCAGTGCGCAGCTAATTTATTATTATATCTTAGCTCTGCTACATAAGTTATATTAGACTGTTGTAATTTCTTTAATTTACACCTTTTTAGCTTGCTATATAAGGTGTTAAAGTGTAGCTAGTCTAGGGTGTCCTAGACGCTTATGCTATAGCTCTGCTAATGCCTTTTATAAACTATGTTTAGTTCTTATGTTAATTATGTGTGTATAATATAAGCCCTTTTATAGTAGATAGTACTCTAACACCTATTAGCTATAGATTTCTATAAGATCTCTAATTATTATCTTATTTAGAGCCTTTAAAGCAGTTAGCTCTGCTTATGTGTCCTACTAGATTTCTTTCTATTGCAGTAGGCAGAACAAGACTAGGTTGCACAGCAGGTCTAGGCACAGTGCAGTGTTATAAAGTACAAAACTATATGCTTAACTATATGTTCTATGCTTACTTTTTAGGCTTAGTGTAATTAATCTGTAGCCTTAAATCTATATGTAAGAGTTTTTAGACTAAATAAAGTCTTTTAGTGTTAGTAGATAATAGTTATAGATCTAATTAAAATTATTTATAATATAGCATATTAAGCCTAAGTTAAGGATAAATAATTCTCTTAGTAAATATCTGTTCTAGTTTAAATTAACTATAGCTAGCAATGTAGCTGCCTTAACTCTTAATACTTTCTAGCCTTTAAGTTAGTTTTTTTGTATTTCTAGTGTAGGTGTATGTAAACTTTTTAGGATTAGTATTCTTAAATTATGTCTACGCTGCCCTCTTAGTAGGCCTTAAAATTCTAAGTTGTGCTTACGCTTTAATGCTATAAGCTCTTTAACTCTCTTATTTAGCATCTACTAGTCTAGTGCTCTGTCTAGATAGACATAGAAGTAGTCCTTTAGTGCATAGATGTGTCTGCATGCAGGACATTTAGTGCCTTTTATTTTAGCAAGTTTTTAGCTTAAAAATAACTTCCTATTATCTTCTTAATAACATTAATGTTAAGGTTTACTTTATTTTCTTAATGTTATAACTTCTGCACTACAGGCGTCTTTATTTGTGCCCTAGGTAGTCTTTCTACTTTTAGTAAGGTATAATAAGTTATCTGTTGTAAAGGCAGCTTTATGCTTTTTTATATATATTAGATAATTTAACATTATATGTTTTTAAAAGCGCTTTATTATTTCTTTTTAATTTATGTTTAGTGT